GTTAGGCTCTAAATTGGACAAATTGTAACCGTCAGTCGTAAAAAAAAAGTTTATTGTGAAGATTTCCTTTCAATCGTAACGGAGTGAAACCAGTGTTAGCTGTAAAATGGCCAAAACATGAACCGTTAGCCGTAAAAGCCATCACTCCGGCCATTGAGACTTTTTACCAAGCAAGCGTTTGATTGACATTGGTTGTGGCTTTCACATGACTTTAAACCGAAAATGGAAGACACATGATTGTCAGTAAAAAATACGCCTCTGTTGTTTTCGTTGTATTTTTTGGTTATTAATGCTCAAGAAGTTAACTGTTTAAGAATGTTCTTGTATCTGATTTGACCCTTCCTTAAAGCAAAAGAGTTTCCACGTGCACCGTGCGAACTTGAAGGTCAGTAGACAGACATTGTCCAGTGTTTAATTTGTTCTGTAGCATAATTTGATCTTCATCGTCCAATGTTTCCGCATGGTTTCATAGTCTGAAAGGCGTGCAATTTAAATTTTAAACTAATCCAGTCCACCATTTGAATTACATAAGCGACCTGATCGAAGATTTCGCGCTATAGGACTTTGGATCATAGAGTCGGGTACGAGAGAGGATACAAGTCTCATTAGGGAAAAAACCGGCGTACGAACGAACACCTGGAAGCGTGTGGAAAAGGGAAAACTCTCCCGATCTCCCGCTCTATCCTAACCATTTTGTGCGATACTCTAACTCCGTGTAACGTCTTTGAGGTATGTATTTTAAAAACAGCGACTGGATCTTCAGGGATCTATTATTATGATAATATACATATAAATATTTATATAAAAACAAGAAAAACAGCGTAATAAGAAATATAATGCATGTTCTTTAAATAGCTCTAGTAGTGGATGTTTATACAGGTAATAGAAAAATTTAACCGCTTTCCGAATACATTTAATAACAAAAATAACTGAATCCAAAACAGACAAGTCCATACAGTACAACTACTGCTCGCGTGAAAAATTATTATGTAGACTATCAAAACCACGTGACGGGCGCGAATGTCACGCGATGATATGTTAACGAAATGGTTGTGCAAAAGCGGTTTGCGAGTTATATCCAAATACTTGGTAAAACGGATGGAAGAGATAAACCACGTTATCTTAGAAAATCTGAAACAAAAATTTAACTTTCCAGATTAGTTTATCGTGTTTTTAAAGAACCGCGCCATGCTTATCACTAGCAGCTAATATCAAGCGGTTATTCTGTTTCAACGGCTTTAAAAAAATGACTCATGCTGGCTGTATCGGTTTCATCTGATGCATGCGCTGCTCAAAGTCTAACGTTAAGCTTTCACCTTTGTGATCCGCGGCAAAGGTTTAGTATTGGAAAACTACTGTAACAGCTGTAAATCGCCACCGAGCGTGGAGGCTGTAGACCTCAGTTCAAGAAAAAGGTAGAGTTGTTCGTCAGCCTGAATTCTGAATTAGCCTGCATGCAGGCTTTGCTTGGTAGTCTACAGCGTGGCGAACACGCGAGAACCGTGGTGATGAGCGTATCGATCTTGCGACCTCGCTACTATGCCAAAGCCTCTAGTAGAGCTTGCAGCTAATCTTCAATTATATAAGACAAGTTTTGATGTTTTGAGTAGTTTTAGGCCTCGTTAGAAACTGACGATAGTGTTAGGGAAGGGAAAGTGCATGGAAGTCAAAATTGGCGATTTCGATGTAGCAGAATTTATCTTGAGGCAATCTGAACAACCGTATTTATTCAGTGGAATTTTAATAGATTGAAAATAACTTATTCTTGGAAAAACCTCTGATTGTTTTGTTTCATAGATCCTTCTCTCCCGCTTTCCCTTCTACTCAAGCTTGGCTATCAGAAAATAGTAACACTTGCAGATTATTCAGCGCTTAACCCTTTAACTCCCAAGATTTCATTAGTAATTCTCCTTACTGTCTGCCAAACAATTTATGTGATGTTTGTTTGGAGAATTTGGATCAGCCAACAATCTCCTAATTGATATTTTTCTTTATTCTCATTACTAGTCTGATTGATATCATATTGATAGTGTAAGGAGAAATTCTCTCTCGATCACTAGTGGGACTTAAAGAGTTGAAGGGATGTGAGATGAAAAAAAAAATGGTTCTTCTGCCACCAACAATGGAACTTTATTGAGAATTTTTCATCTTCTCCAGATTAACATACATATATACATAAAAGGACTCTGAAAGCCATTGAATAATATTGTTTCTAGCCTCACAAAAGATACTTAAACTGACCCCCAAAGCAATATAGGTGAGGCAAATCTAATCTCTTCATTTTCCTGTGATGTAATTGGCGTACATTTTTGTTTTGGAAAACAAAGTGAAAAAGGGAAAACGCGCTCTGCAAGTTTTTATTTTAAAAAAAGGCAAAAGAATGAAAGGTGAGAGGCAGAGCATCCTATTGTCGATGAAATTTTATCAATTGCAAGGGAGGATGAGGTACCTCGCTCCTGCTATCTGTTAAATATTTCGTTTTAACGTAGCATGTATTCAAATTGTACCTCAGCTTTTATTTACCTATGATATTTGATATGTAATTTATCCAATTTTTATAACTTTCAATATCGTTCATGAGGTTTGGAATCGTAATTTCAACTACTAGGGTCTGCACTTGGCATCGAAGAACTGTTTTATGACTTGCGAGTCTACTAGGAATCTACAGGGAAAAATAGTTACACATTGTTTCGATTTGGTCATTTGTAAACCGCTTTAGAGTTTTCGTTGCTAGCCTCTTGGTTTCACATTCTCCGCTATTTGCATAAGTTTACTTAAGCTGGTATTTAAATTTTAGACAAGGGACGAAGAATGCCGGCCTCTGTGAATTCTGGCCCCTTGATGACCCTTCAAGGAATTCTGAAAGTTCTAGAAATTGTAAGTTTTACGATCAACGAAATACGTTTATCAAAAATCCCTGTATGAAGGCTGTGCG